GTTGAAGTTGCAATGGGTCTAGAGGTGTGGAATGGACTGGGTGATGTGTGCATCCATAATGCACACGTGCATGCACCTGTGCTGTGCAGTTTGTTCGCTTACTCCATGGATGGATAATACATTAGAGGGAGACGTCACGCGATGTGTAATGTTTCACGACCCACACCAGCTCGTGATCGGGTTATCGGTGTTTAGCGGAAATGAAAACACGCGTGGACAATTGTCAACTGAATCCATTGTTCAGTGATGATCATACCCTCTCCATTCTTCGAGAGCAAGTAAGCCATTCCGTCTTTGACGTAGTTTGCTGACTTGGCTGTGGCGTGACGGTTGAAACCCACCCGACCTTCACCTAAGGGCGAACTAAGTGTGGCATGTCGTGGCTGTTATGTACATAGCAACGCTTGCCAATGGCCACCGTGTGTCGACGGTCTTGCCTGTGAGGGAAATGAGCAGTTCTCTGTCACGCGCTATGTGAATGGCGTGTAAATGACATCTATGCAGGAGGTAGCGGGCCAGCCTTTCGCGGTGCGCTATTTGTTTAAAGATATCTTTTGAGTTTGTAGTATTTCACCACGCTAATTTCTAGTGCTCTTGTGCATGACTTTTTAGGGAACATTTACGTGAGCTTTATGGAGTTCACCTGCTAGCCTTTCACTAGGAGCTGACCGAGCCATATTCTATACTAAGCCGACGTCTGCAAAATCTGAATATCCATCACACGTGCTACATTAGCCAATGAATGCAACGCGCTCGTCAGGACTCAGTTAGCTGCGCGCCAGAACGGACTTGTGTCAGAACAATTAATTGCTCTTGCTTTGTTCTAATGGTTTGTTCCCGCAGCGCCACGGCCCCGGGCTGCCAAAGGTCCCTTCACACGTCTGAAGACTTGCCGGGCAGATAAGATTTTCACGCCATGGAGGAAGAGCATCAGTCGATCCACCTACTGCAATCGGCGGCACGTGGCCGTGGATGAGCACAGAGACGGATATGAGCGATAGTGCAGCTGCATGTCACTGAGACAGTGACATGCAGTCGAGTCCTTTTTTATTCGTTTATCTACAAACCCGCGGCTGCTGAAAACTCACGGGGACCGTCAGTACGAACTCGCAACTACAGCGCTAAGGCGTAGTCGGCGGTAAGCCGGCAAGTAAGCGAAGCATTTTGCGCCGGCGAAAACGGGATGTTTTAAGTGACGAACAACTCGGGTGATCGCGACTGCAGTATTGCACAAACAAACAACTATGTTGGGTGGAAAACTGGTCAACGTGGGCTGGACTTTACGCTTTGTCCATTTCATCCGCCCAATTAGCTCGGTTTAACCCGCTGCGTGCGTATTCTACACAATTGTTGTCAAATCGTCGCACTGGTGGTCTCTCGATCGATCGCAGGCGTCGCTATGGTTCTGACAGTGTTTGACCTGTTTGGCGATCTGTAGACCGCAAAGTTCGTTCACGTGTCTATTTGCTTGGGTCGCTGAGATCCTATTTCAATCGTGAAAAACGCTCCACACCAGTCGAATTTGTCATGTGCGCACGACCGCGCGTGGGTAGCCGTGCGTTTGCATTGTGACCTACATGACTGGCCTGTGTTTTCCGTGCCAAAATGCGTTCAGCCCGTTTTGCCGTGACCCGCTCTTGCACCTGCTGACGGCGCACCGCTGATCGTAAACGGTCCCAAATGTAATAAAGTGGCGCGACCCTGCTGGTTTAGCATTTCGCCGTCCTATTGTTCGTGGACACGCGGCACTGGTACCGAGCTGTGAATGCATATGCGCTTGACAGCTGGGCGAATATTTCGAAAAATACAATATTGGAATGCGACCATTGTTACGACAGGCTGCCATCGTAACTTCTGCTTGTCCTATCTTGTCATATAGCTGATATCCGAACTTTGTGTGGCATTTTCGTTATAGTTATATCTTCAAGGCAAGCGATGCCATTGGCATCACCAACAATAGGGCATGCATGTAGTCGATACGACGACCAATTTGCGTTTCACACATCCATAACGCGCGGCACTGATGCCTGCAGCATATTTGTGACTCATAATGATATTTCTGCGCATATTTATGACGCGTACCGTACATGCTTGGATGCCGACAGAGCACGGAAAAGACTAGCACATGCAAATTGTAAAGGAAGCGCATCAGACAACGCGACAAACGTGAAAACCGCAACCAATTCTCGCCTGTTATTTATGTATGCATGCAACGTTTTGGCAAATCAACTCTCTGGCCCTCGCCAGGTAGTATAGCCATGATACAAAATGGGTGAATGTTTGGTTCTGAGCCATGTGCGCGTCACAGCCCGAATTGTCAGCCTGGAATCTCTTGTGTTCGAACCAGGGCCTTCTGATTGCAAGAAGTGCTCTACCAACTGAGCTAACCGGGAAGGGCACAGGCTAGTTTTGGTTAGATTTGTTTAGGTTAGACTATGTTGGGTTAGGTCAGGTTGGGGAATGTTAGGTTAAGTTGGTTTGGGTTAGGTTGGGTAGGCCCTTCCCGGTTATCTCAGTTGCAAGAGCATCCAGCTCACAATTGGCTGTGAGGCTTACATGGCTGAAGGCCAAACACCATCCAGTCCTTCTAAGGACTCCTTAACACCTAGGACTCCTTCTAAGGACTCCTTAACACCTGACGATCGCCGGAGAGTTACCAAAACGTTGCCCACATACATTACGCCAAACTGGGGTGGTAGTCGGAACGCTTATTCCATCCGTGCACTGAAGATCCAAGACGATTTGATTTTTCTCGGGGCGGTTGTCGCGCAAGACGTGTTGGGTTACACAAACCACGGCGGCATGTGAAGAAACGGCAGGACTAGAATACAGGTAAGCTCTGCTATTACACACATTTGATTGGTGCTTTGAGCCTCATATGAACTGAACGTTAATGGCAAGTTGGTAAATAAGGCTTGAAGCGCATGCAAAAGCGTGACCGGTCCTCAAAACCGCAGTCGTCATGGCTTGTCCCGGAAGCCCAGCAACAGTGGCACAGGTAACACAAAATGACTTGACACCACTCTCCTTTGAGGACGGCTCCCATGTGGAGGGTTCTCTGGGGTCGGCTCCCATGTGGGGAACTCTCCTCTGGGGACGGCTCCCATGTGGGGAGTTCTGTGGGGACGGATCCTGTTTGGGGAGTTCTCCTCTGGGGACGGATCCCGTTTGGGGGAGTTCTCCTCTGGGGATGGCTCCCGTGTGGGGAGTTTCCATCTAGGGACGGCTCCCGTGTGGGGAGTTCTCCCCTGGGGACGGCTCCCATGTGGGGCGTTCTCCCCTGGGGACGACTCCCGTGTGGGGGGGGGGGTTCTCCCCTGGGGACGACTCCCGTGTGGGGGGGGGGGTTCTCCCCTGGGGACGGCTCCCCTGTGGGGAGTTCTCCCCTGGGGACGGCTCCCGTGTGGGAAGTTCTCCCCTGGGACGGCTCCCATGTGGGTAGTTCTCCGGGGTCGGCTCCCGTGTGGGAAGTTCTCCTCTGGGGACGGCCCCCGTGTGGGGAGTTTTCTGGGGTCGGCTCCCGTGTGAGAAGTTCTCCCCTGGGGTCGGCTCCCGTGTGGGAAGTTCTGCCCTGGGGTCGGCTCCCGTGTGGGGAGTTCTCCCCTGGGGACGGCTCCGTATAGGGAGTTTTTCTCCGAAGGCGGCGGCTGTGCAGCCGGCCCATCGCGAGATGTCATGCCACCGTGATATCAACCAAAACACCAGTCGCAAGTCCGCTGGCCGGTGCAGCGCGTCCTCCTCCCAAGTCCATTGACCGGTGCAGTCCGTCTTCCACTCAAGTCCGCTGACTGGTGCAGTCCGTCCCCCACCCTGCCTCTCCGTTCTCCTTCGGTACTGCTCTGTAGCAGTTCATCACACGTCTGCCCGTCCTTCCGTTCGAAAATTATAATCCCTGCCTTGCACAGCTCGGGGCAGATCGAAGAGCACATATATGACCCAGCCAAATGAACCGTTCCTGCCTCGCACAGATCGGGGCAGATCGACGAGCACACCTAGCCAACTAGTCTCACGAAGTCGCTTGCCAGTCGGTCCAGCTGTCGAATGGTAATCACTGAGGAGTATCTGAACCTGTACAACTCTGAGCGCTGATCAAAGACGAAATGAAGTTCCTCCACCGTCAGAGATGATAGGCGTATTGATAGAAAACATGCAGCGACGAGCAGCTGTGACCATGGCCTGGCTATCACATTGTATGGGGATTACGGACCAGGCGGTGAGCGTCAGCACCGTACACACTGACACAACACACGCCAACAGGCGGTGAGCGTCAGCACCGTACACGCCGACGCACAACACGCCATCAGGCAGTGCGCTTCAGTACCGTACACACCGACACAATACGCGCCATCAGGCGGTCAGCCTCAGCAACGTACACGCTGACACGGCGCACGCCACCAGGCGGCGAGCGTCAGCACCGTACACACTGACATAATACACGCCACCAGGCGGCGAACGTCAACACCGTACACGTCGACACACAACACGCCTTTAGACGGTGCGCGCAAGCACCGTACACGCCGACACACAACACGCCATCAGGCGATGAGCGTCAGCACCGTACACACTGACACAACACACGCCATCAGGAGGTGAGCGTCGGCACCGTACACGCCGGCACACAACACGCCATTGGACGGTGCACTTCAGCATAGTACACAACACAACCCACGCCATCGCGTGGTGCGCGGACTGCGCTGCGGGCTCGAGTGCGCGCTGCGGACGAATCAGCCTGGCGTAATATCAGCTTTATGCCAAAAACTCACTGAACGGGCCAACAGACCGGTAGGGTCACTCAAGACCCCATGGTCCACGCCAATCTGTGGGTTCAGTGTAGGGTTGTGAAAGTAGTCCCACCGCCAATGCTTTGCGGAGGATAAAATCAGCATCGTGAACACGGGCCAACTGCTACACCGGGCTCAGGTGGATATGATGAAGCGTTGTGTCTCACACAACAGTGAAAGCTTTTACGGAATCGCTTCGATGATGAAAACGGAGTGATAGTTTTCTCGGCGATTACAAAAGCTGCGATCTAAAAAACAAAGGTTGCATATTTCAGGCTTCGTAAGTTCATAGACCTTTATTCGACCACATGTTTTGCAAAGATGACTTTGTGCTCAGGACTATTGCTTAGCACAGCCTCTCGGAAGTCTGAATCACCGAACCAGTACAGCCAGCACCAGCGAGTACTTTGGCCGACACATCTCACACGGGCAATATGACCCCTTGACCCGGCCATTCCAGACCAGACAGGCTCTCTCGGCCGGCTACCAGCCGACCATCCGACGGATAACACCGGAGCGATTTGTGGAACGCCAACCCACGAGCCTGCGACACAGTGCACAACTGCCCCGCACTCTCACATGCAGGCTACTGCAGCGGCAATGGCATCGTTTAACAAGAACATTTCCAATCAGCGCCACCTCCAGCACAAGTCGTTATGAGGTGTTTTGTGCGCGATGGGGCCCTCCGATTTAAGTCTGCGTTCCATAACTGGCGTGCCCGAGATGGCGGGCGCGTATTTTCGGAACTGTGACTAGCTTCGGGTGCATGGAATGAGGACACAGTGGCGCTTTCTTACAACGGCGATCAAGTATGACGACAAAACCACGGCAAACTCCACCGCGCAGCCCTACTCAATCTCAGAGCGATCATCTGTTCTGTTCACCTCCTCACTGGCCCCGTCACTTGCAGCAGTCACATCTTCACCATTCACATCCATCCCTACGGAGCCGTTCACACCGGCCGTTCCGTTCAGTGCTCGCACGACGCTGTCGCCGCCGGCCGGGCTCGCCTCGCCCCGATCGACACCGCAGGGCTTGAAGTATCTCTCCTTGAAGAGCGCCGTGCTCGGGTGGACGGTGACAGCGCTGTGCTCGCCGGGCGCCTGCTCGCGCCACTTCTCCATGGTGAGCAGGCGGCGGCTCGAGTGGCGCGTCAGCGGCTGTTCGCTGTTGGCCACCAGCCGCAGGCACGGGTGGCCGGGCAGCCGGTCGGCGGCGTACTCGGCGCGCGTCACGGGCAGCCAGAAGACGAGCCGGCCGCCTACGGGCAGCCGCTGCACCGCCAGCTGCAGCAGGTCGCCGAACAGCTGGCCGGCGCAGTAGTCGACCTTGGCCGGCCGCTCGGCGCCGCCGCCGCCGCCCAGGCGCTGCGTCACCTCGCGGATGCCGTACGGCGGGTCGGTGACGATGGCGTCGAACACCAGGCCGCGCCGCCAGAGCGCAGGCAGCGCGGCGTCCGCCACGAGCACGTCCAGCAGCCGCGACTGCAGGCCGTACTGGCGCAGGTTGGCCGCGATGCTCTCCTGGCGGCCACGCGGCCGGCCGCGCTCCTGCACCCGCGACGGCCGCGTGCGCGCGTGCACCGTCCGGTAGTCGATGTCGGTGCCGAGCACGTGACCGCCGAAGTGAGCGGCCGCCACCAGCAGCGAGCCGGTGCCGACGAACGGGTCGAACACGGTATCGCCCGAGCGCACGCGCGCCATGTTGGCCATCACCAGCGCCAGCTCCGGATCCATGGACGTGTTGCCGATGTAGGCGCGTTGTTTAAGCGAGTGCGCCGTGATGGCGGCGCGCGCGCCATCGCACAGCCAGCGGCCGAAGAAGAGACGCAGCGGCCGCGCCGGCGCCCGGTTCGGGTCGGGTCCGTAGTGCTCGACCAGATGCAGACGGAGCGCGGCGCCCTGCAGCCGCACGGCGCCCTCCAGCGGCAGGTAATCGAACGTCTCCACCCGCTCCAGCTTCTCCGCGTGCGTCAGCGTCTTGCTGAAGGCGTCCACGCTGACTCGGAACGTCGTGTCGACACCGAAGTGCGGCAGCATTGTGTCCGGATGGTCGCGCAGCCGCCGGCGCAGCGCGGCGTGCAGCTGCTCGGCCGTGTCGGCCGTCGCCCACAGCTCGAAGCACGCCTTGACGGCCACCGTGCGCTGCGCCACGGCGCGCGCGTCCGCCTCGCTGGCGAACTGCACCTCGAGGAAGGGCTCAGAGGGAGGCTGCGGCGTCCAGCGCGCCTGCACGCCCAGCAGCGACAGCACGGAGCGGAACTCCGGCTCGCGGAACTCCGCCAGCTCGTTGGAGAACCACAGCAGGTACGTGGGCTCAGACATGGCTGGCATGGTCTCCGGCATGGTCTGGAGACAGGGGTGCATGGTCAGCCAACACTGCTGAATGAGCATCTGGTGTCAAGGCTGGAAATCTTCTAATCTCACTACAGAAATCTGAGGAGAAAGTAGGAATGACTGAATTTATAAATAAACATCTCATATCAGGAGTGGCAAGAGCATTACTTTTGCTCCTGACATGGCAACTTATAACTGAATGTATCCTGCACATATACACCATGCAAAGCAGGATGGTGATAAAAGGGTTGAAACAACTGGCTTAGAGAGCAGGCTGAGACAGGAGAAACAGACTGTAACACATCTAGCCACACTCCAAAGCAGTAAGTGGCTATGCAGGGGCTTGTACACACCCCACAAGGAAAGGTGGCCACAAATTATGTGTCAGCAGAATGTTGACTGCAGACTTTGCCCATATCTGAGGGCAAATATGATTTAAAAGCTGTAGAGGATTTTCATACAGTAATATCAGTGAACTGGTTGGCAACATGCAAACTGTGTGCACTCATGCACCTTGTGGACAGAGCATCACCTGAAAAAATGGGGTATAATATGCCAAGAAAACAGAGTGGACAGCTACACAGAGTATAGTTAACTTACAGTAATCTGAACTGAATTTGTTGGGATAGGTGTGCCAATGATGACAATATGTAGGACAGCCAAGGGCATGCCATGTGGTAACATCTGACAAAAATTGGAACCTTTTTAAAATTGCTGACAGCTAAGATTCAACTCAATAGGTGTCAGAGGCATGTCCATGGTCTGAAATCTTATACCAGAGCAAGAGCCATTGCACTGAAAAAGTTGCAACAGATATACATGATGTCTATAGATGTGGAAACTATGGGATATACCTATCTCATTAGGCATAAGTCAAGGCATAAATTTACTTCTAATACACTGATCCAATGCCCATCATGGCCCTGACTATCTGAATTCTTGCAAAAACCTAGACGCACTCCGCCCACATAAACTTTCCACACCACAGGGCCCGTCATTGCTTTGACCCCATCTTGTAGACACCAAAACACAAAGAACCAAAAAGTATCTTCCTGAAAGGTGGACTTACAACAACTTGAAAAACATACACAAACAGAAACCAGCTAATTCCAAGCAATGACACATTAAGAAGAGGGGAGAGAGGAGTAACATGCTATGGCCACCCAAGATGACAAAAGTTGAGCATGAGCACACATTTTTGGGCTTTGAAAAAATCCAGGCAACTATGACTAAAGCAAGTTTGCTTGCGCACACTGTGAGCTAAAACAAATCAAAATGCATTAAGTTTCCTGAAGATCAGAGCATCCTTTTCAGCCCCTCCCCAAGCCGGTCTTGAACTCCCACAGTGGGGCAATGAATCCTCCCTTGATTGCAAGCACATGTAGGTTTTGTAACCCGTACCTATCAAAAAACGCTGTCGCCAATGCCGGCGTTTGAACACACCAAGCTGTCCGTGATATGAAGCTGAACCCGAGCACCAACTCAATGCCGTATCCAAACGGTGAACTCCCCTGTGGCTGTCTATTGCTGGCATGCTGTTCGTCATAGCTGCGCCAAAAACGTGGTCTTTCAGAACAGCTGGTATGAATCATGCGGGTGACGTCATTTATGACGTCTTACACCAGATATTCCTGCGCCTTTTTGTGTTTCCAGTTGTGGATGCAAGAAAGGCAAGGGGCAAGGCGTGCCCCCTCCAAGTGGGGCAGCAATGTCGACACCCACTTTTTCAGATCTTACACACGCTCGGTGGGGGATCAATTTAAGTTCTCTTCGAAGGTTTTTTTCTGGAATGATTTCCGAACGGTGCGGTGTAAACGCGCCAAGTTTTCCATAGCTGTAGGCGGCTGAATAGAGGATCTTATCGCATTGATAAAATTATATATAAATATACTTCATTGAATGGTGTGATGGCAATGCTCCAAGGGGGTGAGGTACGGGGTTCGGTTCCTCGCGCCGCCCGCCCTTCCTGCTAGGGTGAGGGGCAGGCGGCGCCATGAAGCGTCAGCAGCTGAGTGCGCCGTAAGGCCCCGATGCACCCTCCCCCCCCCCATGCTCCAGGGCTGTGAAATTTGTTTGTGTCGTTTTTTTGCTTGTAATCCATGTGTGCGGACAGTGGTGGATCTTCATTATCTTTATTTTTTTCAAATCTTCATTTTCGGGAGGTTCTGAATTTCCGCGGCACGGCAATGCCGCGGAAATTGGCAGTGCCGTATCCATTGGCGAAATCCTGGTTTGGCCCATTCGGAAAAGGAGCACCACAACTATCATAACGAGCACAAATCCCTTTCGTTTCAACAGGGGCCCGATTCCAGCGAGCACGACAAAGGGCCCAAATCCCTTCATTTGCAATGGGCGCCAAATTCCACGAGCACATTGCTTCACTTTTCACCCGAACGAAATGCTAGATCAGTTGCCTGGGCAACGGGACACCAGCAGCTTAGATTCGGGGAACCATGACCTTTATTTTACGAAAATGTATGCGCCTCTTACGCCGACGAAATTGCTGATCGGCTCGGTCTTCGCAAAACCAAACCCTTAGCAAGTAGATCGTGGGTTAATTACATGAAAATTCGTTACGTGACACTTTCAAATCATTTTTCTTACTGCTTTGGTGCGCTTCATCACCTTTGACGCAAGACTATGTGTCACGAAATCGGTAACCGCAACAACGGTGTTTTTGTAGGCTCGAATTCACACTATCCCCACTGCTTACGACTGTTTCCTGAATCGGATAAAATGGAGTTCTTCAGGCATTTGCAACAGCCACTTCCCATTACCCACATGCGTATTAAGACGGCAGGTGAGGGGCGAGTGGTCGCCCACCGATTGCCGCCAAGGTTGCAGGCGATTCACCTCATGATGTCACGCGAATAGCTGGCATGAGGATAAGGTTTGCTTCCATGACCTTGTGCGTCCTTGGTAGTAAGCACATCACACCCTGGCTCCCGTCAGGCATCCACACAGACAGAGGTAAGATTGGCCATGCGCAAACACGAATCGTCCATGGAACGCAGCAGGTCTTCACGTGCGTTTTCAGTCAGCTCCGTTGCTTCGCGAAGCAAGCCCGCAAACACTTGTCTATATGCTCGTTGCTTACGGTGCGTCTGTCTTTCTGTCTGCCTGTTCTGTTTTGCGCTGCGTCCTGCCTGAGCCGAACGGAGTCTCGAAATGCAGAAAATCCAATGGCGGGCCGAATAGGGGGGGGGGGGGGGGGCAAGGCCGAATGGGGGAGGGAGGGGGAGCGCCGAATGGTGAAATTTGGAAACGACGCGCCGGTGCCCGAGGCGGTTTTCCACTGGCAGCTCGCGAGCCGCTGAAGTCCAGGGTTCGGGCGGGGCACGTGCCGAAAAGGTCGTTTTAGGCTTATTGGTTTTGCACGGGCGTCTCGAACATGCGACCCATGATAAAACCTACTAACAGCGGTCCGAAGTCGTGGCCACCTTCCGGTAACCAGGCGTCGGATCAACGAGAAATCGGCACCGTTTGCCGACAGTTGAACGGGAAATCGCATCGTATGACGTGGGCAGTTGCACGTGCAGCGTGTCACGTGAGCACAAGCCGCCAATGTGGAATTTGCCCATTCTTATCACTATTCACGTTTTGTCACAACTCGGCAGCCCACCGGCGGGGGGGGGGGGGGAAGAGGCGCGAATCCAATTTAAAAGCGTCGACCAATGTACGGGCGGCAATTTATGTGATTAACACAAGTTTTTGCATCGCTCGGTCACGCCAGAAATCTCGGACAAGCTTGAGATGTCGATCGTATCGAAAAAGGTACCAAATACATCCCGCTGTTGTCGAAACTGTAGCAAATTTGGAAAGTCCGTCCAAACATAAATTTTCGATAAAAGGATTCGATCCCGCCTATTTAGGTCGTCAAAATGCCACTGGTTGATCGCTCGCGTGTTTCACTTAGTGACACCAGAGGAGCCACGACCAGAGCAGCCATGTACATTGCTGCCGGTACATCGGTCGAAGAACCACAACCAGATGAGCCGTGAGTAACGGAAAACCGGACAAATCCAGTCATAAGTCAGGTATTGAGATATTTCGTAAATAGTATGGGGAATAGGGAATAAAAACGAAAGCAATTTGCCCTTGACATGCAGGCATATTAAAATAGTTTTATACAACCTATGACTATGATCATGACTGTGCTGCAGGAGCCTATCTAGATTTAGTCAGGGGCGGGGGGGGGGGGGGAGGGAGCGAGTTCGGCAAGAAGACATCGCGCCGATGTTTTACATCCAGTCGGGAGACATCTATGACAAAGAAATACGGGCCTCAGGAGGGATGCCCCCCCCCCCCCTAGGCTACGCTCCTATTATGATGCGTCCCCATGTGTGGTAGCTCAGCCTGACAGATCCTACTCGAAATCCCGTTGGGGATGCCAGTGCTGGGTCCTCGGTCTCCAGCAAACCTAAGATGTGAGATGATTTTCCAGAGAGGCTGCTCTGAAAATTCCCAGATTTTAGACAGCACCACCTCTGAATGTTCTGTAGGTCCCATATTGGTTACCGTGGGGACGCTCTGTGCGTGCAGTGTGCCTTTCCTGGCCACCAGAGGCACCCGTCGCCTAAATGGAGTGTTCCACATTTGTATGGGAGTTGAACTGAAATACCCATCTTAAAGATCATTCGGTGCAGTTCACACCCCTGCCCTTAAAACAAATGTCTTGTTAGTTTCTGAGCCGCACGTTCGTGACGATGTGCATATTCTGTAGCTTATTTCGAGGTCATCCAGGCATCCGTGACACCGTGATAACGTCATTCAAATCCTGCCATTCCCTTGGTCCTGTGGCGATTCACCCCATGTTGCTGCATGGAGAACTGGCTCATAGATATAGTCTGTTTCCCGTGACCGCATACGTCTGTGGTAGTCAGCACATCACGCCCGGTTCACGTCAGGCACCCCGACAGCTAGAGGTAGAAACGGCCAGGAAATAGTAGGAATGATGTTGAATGCATCCGGAAATACGTAAGTTGTTTAGTGCATTAGCAAGGAACACTATTCACATAGATAAGACAGTCGTATTGGCCTCACTCCTCGGAAAAACCAGGAGAATGGTAATATAGTTAGGTTAATATTTCGGCAACATGCCTTTATCGAAGGAATAGCATGAGGTCAATTCAAAATTGCCTACCGATGATCCAACTCAATTTTTCAGTTTTTTAACGGCAAGCCACCGTTTTTACACGACACTTGCATTCGGGGGATTAAACAAAGAGCGATTTCCAACCATTAACAAGATACAGTGCCTATCTAAGAATTAGGATGAACGGACATACGTGTACATGCAAACGCACTCAGGCAAATAAGCATCACGCATCAGCTTCGTTCAAACATGCAAGCGAGTTGAAGCAAACGGGCATCACATATCGCGCAGCAATTATAGATGCAAACGATTTCAATTGAGCAGGCATCGCACATCACGCGTCACGCATCACTCACACATGTAAACGGTTTAAGCCAGCACACATCACACATAGAGGCGCATATCACGTTCGCATAAAAGGCAATGATGAGCCCTGTATGTTAATATTTGGTCGCCGACTTTTGTTAAGAATATATTTACTGAATATAGATTCACAGTGGTCACCGACTTTTTATAAGAATAGATTCACTGAATATAGATTCACAGTCAATCTATTCTGATAAAAAGTCGGCGACCAAATCTTAACATACAGGGCTCATCATGGCCTATTATGCGAGCGTGATATGTGCCTCTATGTGTGATATGTGCTAGCTTAAAATTGTTTACATGTGTAGGTGATGCCTGACTCATGATGTGCGATGTATGTTCAGTTGAAATCGTTTGTATATATAATTTATGCGCGATGTGTGATGCCTGTTTACTTCAACTCGCTTGCATGTTTGAACGAAGCGTGGTGCGTGATGCTTATTTGCTTGAATTCGTTTGCATGTGTACGTGTGTCCGATCATTTTAATTCTTAGATAGACACTGTATTTTGGTGATGGCTGGCAATCGCTCTTTGTTTGATCCCCTGTTGGTATCCTGTAAAAACTGTGGCTCACTGTTTCAACAAAAAAAGAAGAAAAATCGAGTAGGGCCATCGGCAGGCAATTTTGAATTCACTTCTGCCATTGTTTCGATAAAAGCATGTTACCGAAATATCAATCCAACTATAGTTCCATTCTCCTGGTTTTTCCGAGCAATAAAGCTGTCGCATCCGGAAATAATAAAGATATACAATCGCATCCGGAAATATTGTGTCCATAGAGCGCAACAGGTCTTTACATGCGTTTTTAAGGAGCCAGCTCCATCACTTATCGAAGTCAGCACACAAGCACATGTGACAACTAAAGTGTGAATGAGATAGCGCAACTTACGGAAGTTGCAGGAAATGTTGCACATTTATAAAACGTCAATTCTATGTCGTACAATACCGAGCCACCCTATCCGCCTACGACAAATGTAGATAAACGCAAGTGGTTTAAGAAAAGTGCGTACTTTTGTCCTTAATACATAAGCAAATATAGTCCGCT